CTGTGTCCCTCGCCCCCCCCCTCTCTTCCCCGGGGATCCAAACACCCCCCCTCTCTTCCGGACACGAACGATTTCCCAGGCACACTCCTACCACACGTTTTCCTAGCTACCCTACCTTAGCCCCGACACCCTATCCGTTTCACCAGCTACGTCCGCAATCCCCCCCCACCACCCCCCCCCCCCCTGAGTTCCCCGAACTTCTCCCAGACGCTCCTCCGACCCGAGAACAACGAGGGTCTCAACAAACACTAAATATTGGGGTGGTGGCTTTCCCTAGAGGTGAGGGAAGGCGGATGAGGAATCGAAAAAAAGGAAGGCGAGGGGGAAGAGGGGAAAAAAAATTACAAAACTATCAAGGATTCAGTCGAAGACCCTTTCCCCCCCTTTCTCCCACCTACTTACCTCCCCGGAGAGGAGAGCTCGGTGTCCGACAATGTACTCACGTCGTCTACACCTACTCCCGCACTACACTCTCTCTCTTTCCTGGTCCGACCAACTTGTGATAAGGCGGACTAAGGTCGAGAGTCGAAAAAATTTGTAAATTTGACAACGAGGGAGAGACCCGGAGAGTCAACCTCCTTTCTTTATATCTACACAAATTCCCGGGCGGTTTCTTTTTCCTTGAGCCTCTAACTTTGGGTCTGGAGTTCCAGCTGAGTAAAAGGATAAACTACATATGGTCTTTGTAGTCTTCACTAAAACTTTTTCCGTCTTCAAAGAGCGATTTACAATTGACAAAGTTTGTTCAAACTAGTAAGTGTGCCTTGTCTTTAAGGTTTTGATATTTCGAGTTGAAAAGCAGTCAAAACTTCAGTTGAACTACTACCGAGATGTACCAATTTTACAAACGCGAACGCTTTGACAACTCGTCGGTCAGACTCTCGCAACCTTATTTCGCTCAGGACACAGAGACTTTTCTTCTCCCGGTGCTACATTCACACTCGCTCCAGGCTCAGCGCTGCCACTCAACCACAACACAGCCATTTAACACATGCCCCCTTCATACGGCTCCTCGCTCAGCCTGCAAACCACAGCAAAGAATTTCACAATCGCACCACAAAGCGCAGAAACTGGAAACCTGGCAGATACAGCTGCTCTTTAGGTGAGCAGACAGCCTTAAGCGCACATTGGTGTAAGCCGCAGCGTCTTTAAAAAGATGCACGTTTTTTTAATTGCAGCTCATAGTTGTGGCGTGAGCAGTAATGCTGATTCAGATTTCAAAAAGGGTCATTTTATATGCAAAGATTTTTAAACGCACGGAACTTGAGCGCAACGTGCTGAATACAGCTTACTTTACATCTCTTGCCAACAACAAGAAACTACAGTACAGCAATAATTGGTGCTTCTATATGCCACGTCAAACCCTTAGCAAGTTATCCTGCATTAAGGAAGTGCATGATTAGACTTATTTGCCCTCTCACACCAAGTGAAATAATTGTCATTCATCTCTTTGTGTCTGCTTAACTCTGCGCACTGCTTTCTGCACGTCAGGAATGTACGAAAAACAGCTTTAAATGAAGTTGTTTCATTCGAGTTGTTTATTGTAAAATTCTTGTAAATAGTTTTTGGAAAATGTGGGTTTACGAGTAGTTTAGTTTTAGAGCTAAAGCCCTGTTTTTCTATGAACTTGCCAAGTAAATCATAACACAACCCTGAACATTTTTGATGATCAGTTAACAAACTAAAACAAAGTAAACAAGACAACTTTGAAGATCTAGGAAAGCCTTTTTTTCAGCCTTGATGAAGCTAGCCAAACTGTTTCCCCAGGCTTTCAGAGAAATTTGTCCTAATGACCGGTATATAGTGATCGTATCGTCGTTCTCTACACCGATAAGGGAAATATAGCCCTAAAGATGGTGCTTTTGGAGAAACGTAGATGATACCAGCTGGTAACATATGGCCGATATGCTCTGGGGTTCTATAGTCTGGATCAACGCCAATGTTGTACCCTGGGACTGAGCGTGGTTCACATCCAGTGCAGCTGTACAGCTCTGGGCAGAGCCACTTGTTGTCAAAGACAGCAGTTGTTCTGCTAGTTCATCGTGTTTCTCACACTTTGTTAACCCAAATCCGGTTATGTGTGTTGCTTCTGTTTTCAATCAACAAAATATTAGTTGGGGGTCAGTTGATGACATGGTGCCAGATGGGCTTCACTGTTATCTTGTGACCAAATGTTCATGTCACAGAGAAAAAAAACTAAAACGCTTTAGCTGAGCGAGAAGTACACAAAGTGAAAACATGCAAGAAAGGGTTTACACCAAATTGCAAACATGCCAATATGGAGCTCACACCCAAGACAAGGGAACAATGAAGGCTTTTTTTAGATTACAGCAGTTGAGTATACTGATTATTGCCACAAAACATGAACTCCTGAATGTATACCACTGTTGTAGCACAGTAAATCAAAAACTTCAAAGAAGTCAGTGTAGGGTTTGGAAAGGTGAAAAATGTTGGGAAAAAAGACACTGAAAGGCGCCTGAATTATTGTCTACTTAGCATTTTTTATTGTTTGAAGAAGTAGAAAGTAGGGCTTTAAGACTAAACCCCATATTGACCAATGATAGCTGATGTAATATATATCAACTGAAACAAAAAAATCATGAATCGGCAACAATCTTGATAATCTAATTATCTCAATATTTCAAGTGAAAGACCAAACAATTAATCCAATAAAGAATTGTGTGGTAAAAAATCAATAATGAAGAAAATGTGGGTTGCAGCTCTATTACCTCATTCACACCAACGCAACTCCGGTTCAAGCTCCGTGCTAGAGCTTTTCAGGTTCAGAACCGGTTCTTCGGTTTAGCTCCGGCTCTTTTCACACCGCCCAGAGTCCGACTGGTGCTGCGTCATTGCGTCATCGTTTGCGTCATGACGTAACCGTTCACGTGCCTGCTTCATAAAGCCAAACCACGCGAAAACCCCTCACAGCTCACACCGACAACAACAATGGCCGATTGTGTTGAAGCGCTACTCGTTTTGGTTTTGCTCTGTCGAAACGAAAAGGGACGACTTTACTACCAACTTTACAGTCGTTACATGCTACATTCAAAACTGCTTTACAATCGTAATAGTCATCTTCAACGACGATTCCGATTCCCCCTGCCCCCGCCTCGACGTAAGCGTGACGCATGCGGTGCTTTTACTCTGGCCGGACAATTTTTTGGTGCTTGAAACGAACCGGATTCCGGAGCTAAGAGGCTGCTCCGCTGCGGTGTGAACAGGAAAACCCGGTGCTTTTCAAGCTCAAGCTCCGAACCGGCCCTGAAACACCGTTGGAATGAGGTAAGAGAGGTCCCTGAACGCACCACAGAGAGGTCCCTGAACGCACCACAGAGACTGCATTCACTTTCAGTTCAGAGGAAACAATGATCAGCTGTTCTGAGATAAAGCTCTATTTCTTATCTGCCTCGGTCCTTTTGAGCCCCAGATGTTATTCTTTATAAAGCGTTCTGAGCAGCAGGAAAAGCGCTATATAAATAACATGTATTATTATTATTGTTATTATTGTTATTATTATTGTTGTTTTGAGGTCAACGGTGATTGATATGTCTCTCAGGTCATGTCGGGGGGGCGGGAGGTGCAGCTTCCCCTCCAGCAGGTGGCGCCCTCCCTGACCACGCCCCTCTCCGTGGTCCCGCCCCCTAACCGGCAGGCCAATCCCTGGCCTCCGAGCGACCCCGCCTCCTCTCAAGGTAAACTGCGCTGTGATATCAGCCGGATGTGATTCAATGAAGGTGTTCACGTCCCCCCCTCTGTATTAACGCCCCACTCCCTCTGTGTTCAGGTTCTCCTGCAGGGTTCCTCCCGCTCCACGGGGGGTTCAGGGACCACTTTGTGGAACCGCCAGAACCCAAATACTGCTGCGAGGCCTGCAGGCTGGTTCTGTGCCAGCCGAGGCAGACGGAGTGCGGACATCGGTTCTGCCAGAGCTGCATCAGTGACCTCCTGAGGTACTAAATATTCTTCAGGGTTAACTTCAGGGTTAGAGAGGTAACTTCAGGTTAACTCTGGGTTAGAGAGGTAACTTCAGGTTAACTCTGGGTTAGAGAGGTAACTTCAGGGTTAACTCTGGGTTAGAGAGGTAACTTCAGGTTAACTATGGGTTAGAGAGGTAACTTCAGGGTTAACTCTGGGTTAGAGAGGTAACTTCAGGTTAACTCTTGGTTAGAGAGGTAACTTCAGGGTTAACTCTCGGTTAGAGAGGTAACTTCAGGGTTAACTCTGGGTTAGAGAGGTAACTTCAGGGTTAACTCTGGGTTAGAGAGGTAACTTCAGGTTAACTCTGGGTTAGAGAGGTAACTTCAGGTTAACTCTGGGTTAGAGAGGTAACTTCAGGTTAACTCTGGGTTAGAGAGGTAACTTCAGGTTAACTCTGGGTTAGAGAGGTAACTTCAGGTTAACTCTGGGTTAGAGAGGTAACTTCAGGGTTAACTCTGGGTTAGAGAGGTAACTTCAGGGTTAACTCTGGGTTAGAGAGGTAACTTCAGGTTAACTCTGGGTTAGAGAGGTAACTTCAGGTTAACTCTGGGTTAGAGAGGTAACTTCAGGTTAACTCTGGGTTAGAGAGGTAACTTCAGGTTAACTCTGAGTTAGAGAGGT